GAACCGCTTCTCTTGAAGGTACTCACTACCTCCATCTGTGGGAGAGAAAATGAGATAAAGGTTGGCTTGCACTGTGGTCCTGGGGACCGCACGGGGGTGGGGCTGGGTGGGGACAGGGACCACGCTGGGCACATATCGTGACAGCAAAGCCTCATGGAGGTCGCCGCGGTGCTTCCAACGGGACCATGGCCGAGGCCCTCGGCCTCTGCATCATCCATCAAGAGACAATTTGCTGAGTGAATGATTTGGGCTCAGAAGACTTGGGGCACTCGGGGATTAGTGATGGATCGGGTGCACCACAAACAATTTTAGGGAGAGCCATTTGCATTCACGATATGCTCATTGCAAGCCACTCATCAATAAATACCTGTGTCTGGCAATACTTTGTTATCCTAGGTCAGTAGTGCTCAACTTTTTTGCTGCCCCAACACACCTGAAGGATGTGACATGCTCCCATTAGGAACGAGGTCATGGATGCTGGGGACAGCTGCCCTTCCCTGCCCATCCTTGCTTACATGGCTCTAACCTGGCATCAGTCTGCTTCTGTGGCTCATCCAAGTGACTGAGGGGTACTTAGAGGGAAATCTCAATGGAAGAATGGATTTTACAAGAGGGGGAGGGGTTTCCCCGAAGCCCCCACTTTATCTTATCAGAACGCCTACCCGCAGAGCCACAGGCAGGGTGGGAGGAAAATGGAGAGCTAGGTCTGGGGAGCAAAGATGGCTTTGGCCATCCCTTTAAGCTTCCAGGGAGCCTTTGGGAAAGAAGAGCCATGGGGGTGAACTTGCCAGAGACACAGTGTCTTCAGATTTCCTGACCCTGCCTTTGGCTGGCAGGGGGGCTGGGGGTGGAGCAAAGCCAGGCATGGGTTTCCAGGTAACTGTGGGTGGTGGGCACTATGAATGTCTCACTATCAGATATCTATCTCTCTAGATTCTGGGATGCCAGCCTGCTGTGCCGCACTTGGGGTACTTCTTAGGGAATGAACTCTTGGGCGGGCTGTGTGTGTGTGTGTGTGTGTGTTTATGGAAATTTTTGGCATTAGAAAGTGTATCCGATTTCTAGAAAGTGCCTATCTAGAACTATTCTAGAGAGTTCACTAGATGATGTGATCAGTATGCGTTTCTGGAGCCCAGAGCACACTGGCTGCCTGCTCTGGGCACAAGGTCATGGCCCCTGCTCGCAAGCCCCCAGGTGGCTACATGGTAGCCACCAGGGTCAGTGGTGTATCTGACATAGGGCCAGGCTCTAGGAAGAAGGCAGCTTGAGTGCTCGGACTCCCTCCATCCCAACCACAATGAAGATGTCCATCAGTTCAACCCTTGAATGCACTGTGAGACAGATACTTATTGTTGTGTGTCCACTGCTGAGTGCCCATGGGGCTGGCACAGTGCTGAGGGTCCCAACGCACTGAAGGAAGATGACCCATGTCATGATGTTGCCGTCTCTTTCTATTTCTTCCCTAGGTTGAGATGTTTCTAAGGCTACAGAGATAAATCTGTCTCAAGAGGGGACTCTTACTGTGGAAAAGGCAACAAAGGAAGGAAAAAATGCCTTTCCTGTCTCTGATTGGGCCTCTCCAGGTGGTGTACCAATGGGATGATGGTATCAGTCAAAATACCACATCATTTTCCCCTCGCCCCCACCCCATCCCAGAAGCCCCCACACTGGGCCAGGAACAAGGTCCAGTCACTGCTGAAGCTTCTCTTTGGTTTATAATGGAATGCAAAATAGACCATGTCATGAATGCCTCGAAAAGCCCCAATTCCTTAGTTTTGAGGACTCATTCTGGAATGAGGGCTTCCCTGGTAGCTCAGCTGGTAAAGAATCCACCAGCAATGTAGGAGACTCCAGTTCAATTCCTGGGTCAGGAAGATGCCCTGGAGAAGGGGTAGGCTATCCACTCCCGTATTCTTGGGCTTTCCTGGTGGCTCAGACAGTAAAGAATCCGCCTGCAATTTGGGATACCTGGGTTTGATCCCTGGATCAGGAAGATCCCCTGGAGAAGGGAATGGCTACCCACTCCAGTATTCTTGCCTAGAGGATTCCATGGACAGAGGAGCCTGATGGGTTACAATCCATAGGGTCGCAAAGAGTCAGACACGACTGAGTGACTAAGCACAGCACTGCACATTCTCAAATGATGTCCTGCCTGGCTGGTGCGCTGCCATGATGGGTGGGCAGCAGGTTAGGAAAGGCCTCCATTTAGCAACGTAAAAAGTTGTGGTGGCCTCTGAAATCTTGGGAGCAATTCTGTATTTTGCAAAAGTCAGATATAGGCTGGCTGCCTAAACAATGGCTCTCTTGGCTTGGGGTGTATACAACCTGAGGGGCTTTAATTTTCCTGGGCTTTATTTTCTCATTTCAAGTAGGTATTTTGAATGAAAAAAAACTTTTAAAAAGTGAGCTACAGTAACGTTGGTTCAGCATTCTTGAGAAGCGTGGCGGGTTCGATGTGACCAAGTCAAGGGGAGGGAGACTTGGGTGACCTTAGGTAGGTCCCTTCTCTCTGGGCCCAATTTCCCTGTGTGGAAAGCAGGGGTCAGAAGTGTCAGACTCTGTCTGAGGGGACACAGCTAGCTGGGGCACCAGGGAACTCCACCCAGACACCTCGGATGGGGGCAGGGCGGCTGCCTTCAGCTCATTGATGGGATTGAATAAGCTCTGCCACACCACCTGCCTGGCATGACACCTCAGAGCCGGTTGGGGCTGGGACAGGGTGGGTAGGGGCTCACAGATGAGCAGCAGGAGGCCACAGGGTAGAGCTGGGCAGCTGGCATCAGAGGCTCCTCCCATTCTACTGGGCACTCGCTGTTATGGCTGGGCCAAAGACATCCTTCTCTGGCCATGCTGGTGCTTGGGATGCCAGGAGGCATGAGTCAGAGGCCGGGAGAAGCCCCTGGGGACCCCAGGGAGCTCCTTCACATGGTGCTCTTTCATGCCCCCTCATCCAGCCCTATAGGATCCCAGGCTCTGGGTGACCCAGGACCCTGCAGCTTTGTTAAGTCCCCCAGGGCATCCTGCCCACCTCTGATGCCAAGTGGAGGCACAGATGCCCTGAGTGTGTGTGCCCTGGTGGCAGCAGGGAGTGGACTCTGAGAAGGCTTCACGGGATGAGGAGCTAAGGAGGCCTGGGGCCCAGAGAGCAGCCAGCATGGAGGTGCAGCAGCAGCATGGGGAAGGAGAGAGGAAAGTCTGGAAAGGCAGCAGGGATTCTCGGGGCACAGGGCGCATGGGTTAGGAGAGAGGCTGAGAGCTTCTGGCCGGGGCTGGGGGAGGAGAGAGGGGCGCCTGGAGGCTAGGACCCCAAGGTCTGTGCAGGAGCAGCTGGTGAGCCACGCACACCAGGAGGGAACTTTGGGATGAACCCATGGTGATGGGTGAGATGCTGCAGGCAGATGCCGGTGAGAGCTGTGGGCTGAGGTCCCCATCAAGGCCAAGGGGCCCACGGCGGGAAGTTGCCTAAACAGGGGTTGGGCAGTGTTCTTCCCTTCCATGGGTCTCCAGTGGAAGAAGCAGTTGGAGCTTGCTCAGGGCAGTGGGGCTGGGGTTCCGGTACAGAGTGTGGAGAAATGCACAGGAGAAGCAGGGAGTGGTAAGTGTCACAGACTGGCTAGGTTGACAAAGAGCTGCAGGGGTCCAGGGTGGACACAGGAAACCTCAATCCAGGCAGAGACGCAGGTGGTTAGGCCCAGAGGAGGCCGGCGGTGGCTGGACTGCGGATGCATATTCGAAGGGCCATGGCCATGCACCCAAGTGTTCAGGGACACAGCAAGAGGGCCAGGGGCAGCTGCAGGTTCTTGGCTTGTGCAGAAGTGATGGAGCCATCCATCAGTGGTTGGGGGGCTGGGAGGTGGTGGGCTCGGGGTGGTGGGGCCTGTGGTCTGGGCTGAGCAGAGCCCCGGCCCAGGGCTGCTGGGTATCTGGCCAGGAAGAGGAGGAGGTGGTCGCCATCTGGAGGCTGTGCAAGGAGGGCCAGGCCACAGGGAGTGGGAGCCCCCAGCCCCCCACACCCCGGGGCCTATGGGATTTCCAGCAGCTGGGGTCACAGCCAAGAGGCGGGGGCAGACTAAGATCTCAGCAGGGGGTGGGAGTGACAGCAAGGAAGAGGGAGAGGGGACAGGAAGTTGCCAGGAGAGCAGGGCAGACTGCACTTCCGGAAAGGTGCTGGGAAGCAGCAGGAAGAATGGAGGGACGGCCCAGCTTGGAAGCCAGGAGGACGTCTCGCAGACCTTGGTGAGGACTGATGTCAGGCCATGATGAAATCACCAGGGAGTGCCAGGGAAGGACCCGGAGAAACAGCAAGTATGGAACATCCTGGCAAGAAGGCTGGCCGGGAAGAGGTAGGGGCAGGAAGTGAGGGTGGCTCTGTCAGGCAGGCTCTCATGAAGCCTTCGCAAGTGCCTCCAGGGGGGTACCCATCACGACTGTCTGACTTTCTAGAGGACAGCTGCTGATGGCCTGGACCTTGACTGGCACTGACATTTGGATATTGGGATGAACAGAATGGACCACCTTGGTGGCCAGAGTGTGCTTCCCAATGAAGTCTTTCCCTAGAATTCACAATATAACCCAATAAATGGTGAGCTCATCAAAGGCTACTTGGAGTGGGCATCTGCCTCAGTCTGAGAAGGTCCCTTTCCTGTGACCTGGGACCACCCCCAGGAAATAAAACAAGTCCCAGTAGCTATTCGAATAGCAGGTGGCCTGTGCCCTCGCCTCCCCAAGACACAGCTCTTGGTCACAGCAAACACCTTTAGCTGCCACCTGCACCCGCTCTGGGGAGGGCCACTTGGGCTCTGAGGGGGTGTTAGGGAGAGGCCTTCTCGGTGACATTCTGTCCCTGGGCACTCCCAGAAACTGCCCTTGTGCTCATGGAGACCAGACCCCAGGGCCACCCTGTTGGTCTTGGGCTCACCTCACCCATTCTCTACCTCTGGCTTGCTGGCCCCCGTCTCGAGACAGGAGAGCCGGAGTGGCCGAGCCCCCCGGTGGCTTACCTGTGTCTGGATCCGGTTGAGGCCCCGGAACCAGAGGATCTGGCCCCTGCGGAGCTCCCGCTCAGCATGGTCAATCTCTTCTTCTCCTTCAGCCAGCTCCTCGTCAGTCATCTCATCCTTCCCGGGCCCATGTCCTGCTTCCTTCAGGCACTTGAGCTGGCTGGTAGGGATGGTGGCGATGACCTGGATTGCCAGAGGTGAGGGACAGCAGGCAGAAGTGACTGTCAGAAGTGGGAGGGCCACTGGGGCCGGGAAGGGACACACACTGCCCACCTCCCTTGGACCTAGGCCAAGGCCGCTCCCCTTGCCTGCTCTGCACCATGCTCGGCTACTTTCTCAAGGCTTCCTCCCAGTGAGGGGGCAGTGTGTGTGCCCAGAGGAGCAATGCATGTCACCTTTCCACACAGCATGTGACATAAGGGACTTGCCTTACCAGACCAAGGTCTGGCTCTGGCCTGGCTCCTAGGAGGAGACCTCTAGGGCCCTGCCTGATGAGTGGGTCTTGGTTTGCCGGGGGCTGAGGGCCAGTGGTCTATGCCATCAGAAATCATGGCAGCATGATTTCCGGCAGGGCCCTGGACCTCATATACCAGCTTGACTTCTGGGGCCCAGAGATCAAGAAACTGAGGTGAGCCACGTGGGTGCTCCAGGCCTCCAGGAGTGACTCCCCCTCAAGTCTCCAGATGGCACTGCTCAGGGGAGCTTCCCCGGTGGTGGTACCTGTACATGTTGTTACATGGCACACTGTTGGGAGAAATTATGCTGCTGGCGGCTCCTGTGGTGGGGACCTGGAAGCCTGTGCCCGCCCCCCTCCTGGATCCGCCCTATGTAAGCTTGATCTTGGATGTCCAGCCTCTAGACAGTAACATCTGACATTGAAGCTGCTTGGTCTATGATACTTTGATGTGGTGGCCTGAGACACAGTGTAAAGCACATGCTGGTCTCAGCCTCCTACACCAATGTTCTAGAACTCTGGAGAAATGCCCTTAGGGGCCTCTTGTGTTCCCAGGGCCTGATCTGGCCCCTTCTGGCCTCTGCCCAGTCCCAGTACCCAGGCCCTTTCTTCCTAATGTAACCTTTGGCACTAGGAACTAGCTTTAGCTGCAGCCACAGAGCCAGAAGTGTGAGACTTGCCCTCTGTCAGCTCAGAGGATTTCCTCATTTCCCTTGAGATGTTCTCTTGTCCTCTTGAAGGCTCAGAGAGGTGTTGTGGAGCTTCAAATATATGAGCATCTTCCAAGTTACCCAATTCTAAAGCATGATTTTCAACTCCTACTGTAGAAAAGGGAGTGGCAGGTTTTACCAGGGCCTGTCACATCCCAGCCATGGTCCTTTGCATGCTCTCCACTGATGCTTTCACTTGTGGCTTTGCACCTAGGTCATGGCCTGTCCCAGAGGCAAGACAGGAGCCCCTGGGATGTCTGCACTTACCCAGACAATTGGGAAGGAAGCACAGGGCTGGAAAAGTGGCCGAGGCAGATGCTTACCTGTCCCCAAACCAGTTCCCCAACACCGACAAACAGGCACCAGAGCCACTGCTCCGTGGACAGCGGGGAACAGCTGAAGGGCTTTCCACCGAACTGGACGATGACAATCTGTGGGAGAGGGGTGGGCGGCAGGTGGGTCCAGCCAGCACCTCTAGCCCTCGGGGCACCCCCTGCCTGTGGGCCCAGCTCAGGGAGTCAGAAGGGCTCCTGATTCACCCAGATAGACAGGCCATTCATGGGAGAATTCCTTTCTCCAGGCTCCTTCCCTTCATCTCCCTCTCAGTCAGTGCTGAAAGAAGCTTCCCAGACCAGCTGACCATAGCCCATGGGTGCCATGCCAGATGGGCTCAGGGCCTTGCTTGTTGCCAGGAGCCTGCTGACCCTGGTGCCCCGGACCATCCTCTTTCCAGCATGCAGGTGTGTCTTGGCCATGCTAGCCAAGTCCCCAGCTTCTGTGGACATGGTGTTTGAATGTGCTAGGTGCTGGACACTCCAGTGGGCCTCCTGCAGCCTCATCACTGCTCCATGGAAGGTAGCCTCTTCCCAAGGGTGAGCTTTCCAACTCCAGACCAACCGGTCCTGAGCTTGCACTCCAACTCCCTCTGTTCCTGGACTCTCACCCTCCAGGTCAGTGTCCTCCTGCATTAACCACCCAGGGCCAGGTCTTAGACCATGAGGTAGACAGCCCTATACCCCAGAGCCCAGAAATTGTTCTTACCATTAGACCCTCAGCCTGCTCCCCCAACCTCACATGTCCTGCCTCCATTCCCCACTCTCCCTCTGCCTCCCGAGAAGCCCAGGTGCTTCCCCAGGTGTTCCCGTGATGTGGCAGTCCTTCCTCTGAAAACTGCAAGAAAAAAACTGTCCTGGCCTATTGGCCTCGCTCTGCCTCACATTTTCTATCAGCATGTCCTGTTTTTGAATGCTCAGCACCTTCTGGAGAGCTGAGTGACCAGTCTGACACAGGGAGAATTGCCACAAGAAACTTCTGGAGCTAGGGTGGCCTCTTGCCAAGGAATCGAGTGCTAGACATGGGAGTGGCAGATGTGGAGTAATCTGTGAGAAAGTCAGCTCTGGGGAAGATCCACTGAAACCCTCTGGAACTGAACAGGTGAGCCTGGGGCCACGCCAGGGCTTTTGAAGATGAAAATGCTCAGAGGGCTGGGCATCGGGGAATGTGGGCAGGAGGGGCAGAGAAGCCAAGGCTGGTGTGGAGAGTCAGGTGATGGTCCCCTCTCCCCCACCTTTTCCAACAGTGGAGCCGCCCATCCTACCTGGATGGCAAATGTGCCTAGCACGATGGTGCAGAAGATGGGGTTGCTGAAGATGCCATGGAACACATTGCGCTCGCCATGGATCTTGCGGGCGTTGATCTCATTGAAAAGCTGCATCATGACGAAGGTGTTGAAGATGATGGTGTAGTGCTCGGAGGGCGGCGAGTGCAGGGGAGCATTCCGTCCACTGTCAATGTCAAAGAAGAGCTCCCCTGCAAGTCCAGGGCCACATGAGGAGAGCTGGACCCAGGTGGGTGATACAGGGGGAAGTGATGAGTTCCCCAGCCCCCCAGGCTAACCCACATTAGGTCACAGCAAAGGCCGGATCCTGACCAGGGGAGCTGTCACCCAGGACAGGAGTGTCCCCAGGACATGAGTGAAGACATTGAAACCCATTTGCACATCGGCTTGAGCTAGGGAAGGAATGGGAACTGAGGTCTCAGGGCAGGCCTGACCCTCCTCTGCCCTGCCTGTCCTGCCACAAGGACCAACCTTGGCTCAGCCATGAATAGCTTCTGCTCCCAAGATGGCACAGAAAGGTCCCATGAGAGTACTTCCAGGGGCTGTCTTTTGGTGCCCCCAAAAGATGTTTTATGTGACTATTACCCTTGGCCAGCACCATCCCTGCACTGAGCTTCAAGTCTGCTCCCAGGAATGTGTGCTGAAAGCTGAGCCACCAAGGGTCACCTGACCCATGGAGAGCCCCCTGATGTCAGGCAGAGAGGCCACAAACAGAAGAAGTGACAATCCCATTCCATGTAAATAAAAGAATCACCTAAAAGTTGCTGATGCCAGACACAGAAGAAAACTCCCAGGACAGCAGTGAGGTGAGGGCTGAGGGGTCCTCACTGGAAATCAGATTCCCAAGTGCCTGTCCCTTCCACTGCTACACAGGGCCACCAGAGCCTATGTGGCCCTGGATTAACCTACCAACGAAAAGTAGGGTGAAGATGATGGTAAGCTGGTAGACGGCATGGCCCAGGATGTTTTTCATCATGGTCCGTGAGATCAGGGGCTTGTCCCGGCCGTATGGCTTCCGCAGCAGCAGTGACTCAGTGGGTGGCTCTGTTGCCAGGGCCAGAGAGGCAAATGTGTCCATGATCAAGTTCACCCACAACATCTGCACAGCTTTGAGAGGAGAGTCCTGTGGAGAGCAGCCAGTCACCCCAACATGGGCCTGGAACCCTCACTGGCCCCCCCACCCCCTGGGAAGAAACTCAGCTAGGGGTCATTGTTACTGGAATTCAATTCAAGTGAAATTGCAACAAATCCAGCTTTCCTGTAACATTCTGACATTTCTATCCCTATGTTTCCTTAAGGTGAGCAGAGAGTTTTCACTGGCTCTCAGATTGCTGCTCTTAAAATGTTGCTAGTCTCCCTTCTTCTCTCACCTGCTGGCATTGATGTAGAAGATGTAGAAGATGTGGTCCCAATTGTTAGCAGGAGGTTGCCACCCCCTTGTCAGTTGCCCCAGACCATAAAAGAGCGTGATGGATGGGTGCTCTCCTGTGCTCCCATGCCCATTGGCCAGGAAGATGCAGAAACTGCACTGGGCCTTCCTCCTCATCACTTCTGACTTGTTGGTTAAAAATAAGCATCACAGAAGATAGACACCAAGGACATCCTGTAGGAGTCCATTCCTATGAAACTTCCAGAACTGACAGATCCATGGAAACAGAAAGCAAATGGGTGGGTGCCAGGGGCGGGGGGAGAGGAGAGTGGAGTGTGGCTGCTTAGTGGGTACAGGTATAGGTAACAGTTGCACAAGATGGAGACAGCATCAAAAACCACTGAATTGTACACTTTGGTTCAAACGGCTATTATGGTACAGAAGATGTTATGAAGATTTTATCTCAATTAAAAAATGCCTTTGAGAAAAAAATACCTTTGAAAGAGAGACAAATTCTGAATACTCACTAATGGGGAGAATCGGATGACAGAAAAAGGGAAAGAGGCTCCTGCAGAGGTTAACCACAGAGTTCCCAGCAGACCCAGGACAAGACTTGCACACACAAGTCCACAGTGGCCACAGGTGGAAACAACCCAAATGCCCACTGAAGAAAGGATGCAGAAAAGCTAGGTGCTCCATCCATACAATGGAACATCAGTCCGCCATCCACAGGAATAAAGTACCTGCTACAACACGAATGGACCTTAAGAACATTGTGCTAAGTGAAGGAGCCATACACAAATGACCACCTATGATTTGCTTCCATGGAGTTGAAACGTCCAGAACTGGTGGAAGGCGAGTGGGGAATGACTGCTGATGAGGATGGTGCTTCCTTTGGGGTGATGAAAACACAATGGAACTAGACAGAGGGAACAATGGCACAGTGCTGCGAATGTACTTGTAAGTCACTGAATGGTGAATTTTTTGTTAGGTGAATTCTATCTAAACGGAAAAAAAGTCAGCAGCAAAGAAAAACCTGGCATCCTCCACTGAGCCCTGAGGCCCAGGAACACCAGTGGGAGGGCTGTGGTCATGGAAGGGAGAGCCCCATCACCCACCTGAGTGATGCAGGCGCCTGTGAAGGCCACGATCACGGCCACCACGTTGACCGTCAGTTGGAACTGCAGGAACTTGGAGATGCTGTCATAGACGTTGCGGCCCCACATGACAGCCTTGACAATGCTGGTGAAGTTGTCGTCCGTCAGGATGATGTCCGAGGCCTCCTTGGCCACGTCCGTCCCTGCGATGCCCTGGGGGGCACACACATACCGTGTCCATAAGCCCCTTCCCCAGCCCTCCTTGCCCACTCCAATCGTGTCCTTGTACTAGAGAAGTTTGGCTCACGAATGAAGAAGACACCACCCCTGCAGTGGCCGCCCCCTGGTTTCCTGTCGGGTCCCTGCATAAGGGGCCCCTGGGAGTCCCAGAGTGAGAACATGGCTGCCCAGCTGGGTTCCCTCAGTGCCCGAAACTGGGGCTGCGCACCCTCTGGATATGGCCCTGGGAAGGACTGCTCTGTGCCCCTGGTGCCTGCACTCTGAGGGCTGCGCCCCTCCTTCAAGGTGGGCTGGGAGAGGCCTTGCTTGGTTTCTGCCTTAGGCAGCTGAGCACAATCCGTTTCATGCCAAGGCCTCCCTGCTCAGCCATTTTTACAGAAAGAACCAGCTATATTTCAGCCATGAGAGAGATACACAGAGGAAAAGCTCATGTGGGGACTTGGCTCATCACACTTGGGGCTGAGGTTCACTCGGACTGGACCTGGAGATGGTGAGGCAAGTGCTCAGCAGACAAGTCCCCGTGACCCCCTAGCAATGCAGCCAGTCCCTCGTCACCTTGGGTACCATCACACCAAATACCTTGGCACAAATCACCGGCAGAGGACTGGGTGGTCAGGACGTGAGAGAAAGAAATGTCTGGCACTTGGAAACTTGCTTCAATGCTAGCTCCCACATTCCTGCCCAAAGCTTACGCATCCTCTGTCATTGGGCCCCACCTGGCATGGTCACCCAGACTGGCACAGCAGGCGGCTTACCATGGCGAAGCCCACATCCGCCTTCTTGAGGGCTGGCCCGTCATTGGTGCCATCTCCTGTCACGGCCACCACCTGCCGTTGCTCACCCGTGTTGCTGTCAATGATCCCTGGAACATAGATCAGGGCAGGGCATGGCTCCTGCCATCTGCGGTCCTGGGTGACCAGCCCAGGGACCGTGGGAGGCCAGTTGGCTCTGGAAAGCCTTTGAGATTGCCACCAAGCCTACTGCCTCCAACTCTCCATGTGCTCCATCACCTTTGGGACCAAGTCTTGCGTCTTGATTGGCAGCTGCATCCTGCTTCTCCCACCCTTGTCCCTCACCCAGTGAGACAATACAGGGCGGTGGGATTTGGTACAAGGCAGGGGCCTGGCACTGAGTGACTTGGAAAAATGTCTCCTTCTCCCGGGCCCCCGTTTGCCCATCTGCTCTGATGAGAGGCTGGCCCCCACTGGCATCTTCCATTGATACTGTGAGTGCAAGGGAGTGGAGGGGTGAGCTCTGACCACTCAGCCCTTGGAGGGAGTCTCCATTATTATCCTCATTTTCCCAATGAGGAAACTGAGGTTCAGGGAAGACGAGTGACTTCCTCTGAGACAAAATCTCCAGGAGCCATGTGCCCAGAGCTGAGTAGCCAGCTTTGTAGGCAGGGCCCAGACACCCGATTGGAAGCTCAGCATTGGGCATCTGGGAACAGACGACCCACAATCGAGGTGACAGCCACACCCCCCCTGCGTCATGCCACCTGGGCCAGGGGGAAGGAGGGGCAATGAGTGAGCCCACTCCATTACCTTTAACCAGAGTATGTTTGTCGGTGGGAGATGATCGCGCCAGGACCCTCAGCTTAGGCCACACCTTGTCCAGACGCTCCTGCTCTATCTGGGAGGGGAAAGCATGTAGATGCTGCAGAGTCTTGGAGGGGCTGAACCGAGGGGCAGGGTGAAGAAAGTGCCAGAACCCTGGACCCGCCAGGGTGCTGATGGGTGGAGAACTACCTCGCCTTTCTCGTTTCGGATCCTACGGTTGAACTCTTTCCCCTCCAGGCACAGGAAGTCCTCCCCGGGCTGGATGATGCCGCACTTGGCCGCAATGGCGCGGGCTGTGTTGATGTTGTCCCCCGTCACCATGCGGACTGTGATGCCGGCCCGCTGACATTTGCGGATAGCTTCAGGGACCTGCAAGGGATAAGATGGGTGGGTGCAGCTGTCCAGGACAGACGCAGCAGTGTCTGAGCTCTACCTTTCCTCTGTCCAGATCTGCGGTGCCCCTTGTCTCACCACAGGGCCTGGAGGTGGTGGGGGAAGTGTCCTGACCCACAGGGAGCAGGGTCCCCCCATCCCCTGCTAGGTGCCTCCTTCCTTGTGCCAGTCCCAGGGAGCAGCAACAACTCAGACCCAGGCCCTAACCCACAAGTAAGGCCGAGAGAAGCCACGGGAACACTGTTGAGCAGCACCACTGGGGCCATGTCCAGCAAGGTGACTGTAGAAATCACCCAGTTTCCACCAGGGAAATGGAGACCCACAGCAGCTGAGCCAGGTCCAGCCCCATTAGCAGGCTAGCTGGTGGGGTACCATGTCTGTGAGTTCCAGAAGGATGAGAAAAGAACTTCTGGTCCCAGTTGCCCCATCAGATGGCAGGAGCCATCATGGGCCTCCCCCTCCCAGGCCTTGATTCACTTGTCTCTGCATCTCTTCTTAGTTTTTTTTTTTTAAATAATATAAAACCTAAGACATTAACAGCTTCCCTGGTGGCTCAGATGGTAAAGAATCTTCCTGAAATGTAGGAGACCCAGGTTTGATCCCTGGGTTGGGAAGATCCCCTGGAGAAGGGAAAGGCTACCCACTCCAGTATTCTGGCCTGGAGAATTCCATGGACTGTATAGTCCATGGGGTCGCAAAGAGTTGGACCTGACTGAGTGACTTTAACTTTCACACATATATATTCACACACACACATACACACACAGATGGGCTTCCAGGTGGCTCAGTGGTAAAGAATCTGCCTGCCAATGCAGGAGATGCAAGAGATGCAGGTTTGATCCCTGAGTCAGGAAGATCCCCTGGAGGAGGAAATGGCAACCCACTCCAGTATTCTTGCCTGGAGAATCTCATGGGCAGAGGAGCCTGCGGGGGGGGGGGGGGGTACAGTTCATGGGGTCACAGAGTTAGCCACAACTGAGTGACTAACTCAAGACTAACTTTGGTAAAGAATCTTTCTGCAAGGCAGGAGATGCAGCTTCGATCCCTGGGTGGGGAAGATCCCCTGGAGAAGAAAATGGCCACCCACTCTAGTATGCTTGCCTGGAGAATCCCATGGACAGAGGAGCCTGGTGGGCTAGTCTAGAGGGTTGCAAAGAGTTGGAGACAGCTGAGCAATGAATGCTTTCACTTTCAGGACTTTTAGAGCCAAAGGGTTGACATGATTAGGTGTTCTCAGGGGGAAATGGGCCATCGCTGTGGTTCCTCACATCTCCATTTTCCTAACATAAGAGTAGATTCCAGAAAATACAGAACAAGATATCCCTCTGGTGCTGAGGGGAAAATGGGCTGTAGGGAGAGGAGACCAACTGGGAGGTGGTGCCCTTGTTCCAGAGAGTGGAGACACTCCTGTTTTTTCGATGAGGATGGGCTGGTGAGCCCTGAGATGGCAATGTGGAGGGGAGCCAGGGTGACAGTGCCTGAGGGCCAGGAGGGGATAGGAGGCTCAGAGCTCAGGGAACTGGATTAGGAGGTAAGACCTAGGCCTGTGACATGTCCAGATGGGGCCCTGGCGTGGGGTGCAGCCTGGGGAGACCCAGCTGCCTGCTGTGTCCACTGGCCCCAGCACAACCCTCTGTGAGCTCCCAGTGGGCACCGCCAGAAGCCTGGGGACAATGTGAGCCTGGGGACAGAGAGTGAGAAAGTGCGCCATGCCCTGGGTGTGGCCTGGAAGCCAGGCTTGGGCACCAGGGACAGAGGGGTGATCGGGGACACACATGTGCGGTGGCTGGGGAAGCATGGGCCAGGGGTGGGGGGCAGGGCGTCCATGAGACCCCAGGGCAGGTGGGTGGTAGGTAGGGCCAGGCGGGTTGTGGGGGAGCCCTGGCTTGGGAGGTCAGGGCACTTGCGAGGCTGGGGGCTCCCCAAAGACAGGGGGTAGTGGCTGTGATTTCTGCCATGGAGAGAGTGGGGAGAGGATGGGTACCCAGGGCTGTGACAGAGTGACCTTACACATCCTGCCAAGTGGCCTAGAAGCCCAGCCCTGGGGGCGTTGCATCCTGCCCCCTCTGTAATGTGTCTGCCTCCTCGCTCAGCCTCAACTGAGGACCCTTTCTGCACTTGGGAGCTGCCGGGAGATACCCTCCCTTCCAGCAAGTTCCCTTCTGGCTCTGAAGCATCTGGTAGCTGGCTCTCTGCTGCCACCCAGTGGTCATGATGCGCCTGAGCATGCGGAGCTTCAATCCAGCCTCTCCTTGTCTCTGCGTGGCTGCAGCCCCACTGGGTCCCTCTCTGATCTGAAAGGCCCTTGGCCTCCCAGGCAGGTAGCAGGAAGCTCCCCTCCATCTGCAGGTGCCTTCTCCCTCATTGGGTGACTGTTCTGCCTCCCTGCTGTCCCAGTGGACACAGCCCTGGTCCACTGATGCCCAGTGGCTCCATGTCTGCACGAGCCCCCGCGCCCCTCTGGCATAAATACAGCATGCCTACATGGGCCAAGTGATCCCCCAGGGGCAGAGACATGCCACTGCCAGGCCATCTTTGGGTTGCAGCTCTCCCAGGCCCACAGACATCCTGGCAAGTCTGACAGTGCTATCGGTTTTCCTGCCTGCCTTTGGGACCCAGGGTGTCCTCCTTGGCCACTGCCTGCTGGCTGATCCCCATGGTGGGGGGTGGGGGTCCTGCCTGGCTTCCCTGTCCTGGCTGTGTTGGTGCCACCTGCTGCCTGGCCTCTCATGCAGCCATTCACCAGCCAGAGGCGAGCCATCTTGCCCCCAGGGCCCCTTTACCAAGGCCACTTCTGGTTCTTAAACAAGCACCCCATTACTTTGCCTTGAGGGTTCTCCCCCCCTCTGATTCAGCCCACTGGGGCAGCCACTGAGGCTGAGCCTTCATGGTGACCTTCTTGGAAATTTTATCCAGGTTTTTTCTAAGATGAAGACTTTTTTTTTTAAATGTATCTCTGGGAAGAGCACCAACAGGGAAAGGTTTAGGCCTTGCCCCACCCATATGCTGGCCTTCTAGACTGTTCCATCTAGCCTCCACCCCGGTCCACAGACTTGAGCCACCATGGACCTGCCTCTGCAGTTCTGTCTCAGGATGTATGCATACATCTCAGGCATCCAACCTTGTATCGATGACCAGAGCTTCAGTTTGCAATGAATATTTATGTGGGAAATGAAGGGAAACTGGAAGAGCTCCTTGGCCCAGGGGGCTGAGGTGGAGGGGCCGGATGGCCTGGTTATGATGCTGTGGACATGGCCTTGGCCATGGCTCTGGGAATCTGGGAACCTCATCTTCCTCTCCGATAGCTGGGTGGAAAAGTGTAGAGCTGTTGCCGTTGATACTGGGGACAGCAGTGGCGAATGGCTCTGTTCAGAGGGGGAGGCCATTAGTCTAGGCAAGGGCCACATGGCTTTAGGACTCGGCTTGCTGTGTGGACACAGCCCTCCTCTTTGCCTCAAAGTTTCTCCTTGGTCCGGTGAGGGGAAAGGCTTGCTTCCTGGGGCCCCTGGGGTGGCCCTGTCACCCTCAATGGCACCCTCTCACCCTGCTCTCCTGGGGAGCTCCTCCCACTGCCCACCTTCTCTGGGCCCACTCCAGGGCCAGCCTAGTAGGCTCTCTTCTTCCAAGATGGAGTTTCCCGTCTTAAAGGACCCACACCTCTACCCATTGCTCTTCCTCTCTAGGCCCTGATTAGCTTCTGCCCTGTTGGTGTGTTTCCTGTTCAAGAAAGCTCTGAGTGAAGTCATCTCCAAGCACTGGCTCCCTGCACCATCCCATAGGACCTGCTCAGCTCAGGGTGGGACAAGCCACCCACCCTCTTGCTCCAGCCAACATGTTTCCCATGGGTTCACCTCCCTGCCTGGCCCTTTCCTTTGCAGGCTCCTCCCACCATCTGCTCGGCAACCCTCATGACCCTAAGTTATGTAAAGTCACTTCTGGACAATGTCCCTCTGGCTAGGACCTTTGCTCTGAGCTTTCTACCTAACCATGTGACCTCTCCATAGGGATGTCCGGAACCCCACTCAGCCCCAATCAAAGCCTCAGTTGAGAACTGTCCTCTTCTCTCCCAGTGCTCCCCAAGTATCATGTACCCAGTTCTCTGAACCAGAGCCCAGTCACCTGTCCCTGGCTCCTCCCTCCCCTTCTCCTCATCCCCTCTGTTCCATCACTTCTGCTGGCCTTGGCAGCCATCAGGGTTCTACCTGCTGTCCTCTCTCCCCTGGCAGAGGCAGTACCTGAGACTGGTGTGGATGCCAAGCCAGAGGGGGCCTTCCAGAGGGCAGCACAGAGCCTCCTGAAGGGCTCCAGGGCCAGAGGACAAGGGGGTTCCAGGGTGCCTGGGAGGTCTGACCTGGGCCACGCCCCTGAGGCTCTGCCATCGTCCACCCTCCTCACTTGGTCCAACTCTGGCCAGCTGCCATGTGTTCTACCTAGAAAGCCTGGCAGGGAGGGGTGTGATGGCTAGGAGGGCAGGAGGAAGGGGCAATCCCCTCCTTGCATTTGTGTCCTAAGGCCGAGGCCCTGTGCAGACAAGGATGGCTCCCCCAGCCATCCTGACAAGCTACCTCGGGCCGCACAGGGTCCTCGATGCCCACGACGGCTATGCAGGTGAGGTCGCCCACCACCTCGTTTTCGTTGTCCCAGTCAGGCTCCTGGGCAGCGGTGAAGTCCCGGTAGGCAATGCAAATGGTGCGGAGCCCATCGCAGGCCATCGGCTCAATGATCTTCTTCACCATGTCATCCCGGTCTCGAGGGCGAAAGCTGCGGAGTTCCCCATTGCTGTTCAAGATGTTGGTGCACCTGGGGTGGACGGAGCAGGAGAAGCCAGTATGAGGCAGTGTAGAGGGTTTCTCCGGGGTGGGTGGTGCTCTGTTGCTGCGGGGGCTTAAGAGACCCCCCCACCTTGTTCTCCCCAGAACCTCAAAATGTGACCTTATTTGAAAAGAGGCTTGTTGCCAAGTTAGGATGAGGTCATCCTGGATGAGTGTGGGCCTTCAATCCAATGCCTGCTGTCCTTATAAAAAGAGCAGAGGCCACATAGAGACACAGACACAGGGACAAGGCTGTTTGATGATGGAGGCAGAGACTGGAGAGATGCAGCCACAAGCTGAGGAAGACCAAGGAGACACACCAGGGAGCATCCTACCCTGGAGGTCTTCCGGGGAGGGTGACCCCACCCACACCTTGACTGAGGACTTCCGGTTCTGGCACCAGGTTTATGGTACTCTGTTTCCCCGGGAGCCAGGAGCTCAGACACTTGTGCAGCAAGTGTTGTGCTGCTATTACTACTATCACCTTGAGAACATCACTAACCTCTAAAAGGAACCCAGCAGAAGCGACAAAAGAGGACAGATAAATTGGACTTCCCAATTGAAAGATATTTGTGTGTCCAAGGACAAATCAAGATAAGGAACAAGAAATCTATCAAGGGAGTGAAAAGACAGCAGCCCACAGAATGGGAGGAAATGCTTCGAAATCAGATACGTGTTAAGAATCTAATATTCAGAACATATAGAGAACTCTCACCACTCAACAATAAAATGACAAAGAATTCAGATCCAAGATTTGTAAGGGCTGGAATAGACATTCCTCCAAAGGAGCTAAACAAATGACCAATAAGTGCATGAAAAGGTACCAGTATCCCTAGTCATCAGCAAAATGCAGGTCAAAACCACCGTGCGATCCCGACAGCTATAGCTACAGCAGCAACAATAATCAGGTAATAACGGTGAGGATGAGAAGCTAGAACCCTTAGGCATTGCTCATGGGAAGGTAAACTGGGACAGCTACTGAGGAAAACCATTTGGCATTCATCAAAAGATGAAACACGGAGTTACCAGTTTTGCTCCCAGGAATATACCCAAGAGAGCTGAAAATATGTGTTCAAGCAGAAACTCTACGCGAGCCTTCGAAGTGGCACGACTCACGGTAGCAAAAAGGTGGAAACAACTCAACGGTCTGCCAGTGGGAAAACTGGATAAGTAGAAGGTGGTTCATCCATGCAATGGAATGTTATTCCATCGCAGAAAGGGGTGAAACACTGATAAGGGCTGCAATTCAGATAAACCTTGCAAACCACACTCCGTGAAAAAAGCCAGGTACAAAATGACACATCCTGTACAATCCCTTCATATGAAATGTCCATAATAGGTAAATTCATAAACAAGAAAGCAGATGTTGTTGGTTATTTGTTTGGTTGCTTAGTCACTAAGTTGTGTCTGACTCTTGTGACCCCATGGACTGTAGCCCACCAGGTTCCTCTGTCCATGGGATTTTCCAGGTAAGAATACTGGAGTGGATTGCCATTTCCTTCTCCAGGGGATCTTCTCGACCCAGGAATTGAACCCGAGTCTCTTGCAAGAACTGGGGGGATGGGGATAGGCATGGGGTTTCCTTTGGGGTGATCAACTTGTTCTGGGACTGAATGCACTTTAAAGTGGTTAAAAGGGCCAGTTTCAGGCTACTGTCTATTGCAATAGGAAAACCAGAAACGCCATAGCCTTTGGCTAGCCCCAGTCCCATCCACTCACTTTTTCAGCAGGATCTCTGAGGCGCCCTTGCTGAAGAGGCGGAAGCCGCCGTCAGGCGTGCGGATGACTGTGCTCATGGACTTGCGGACCGAGTTGAAGGTGTACACCTTATAAAGCTTATCTTCAGGAATCCGCTCCCGCACTGGCTGGAAGTCCCGCTTGAGGTCCAGGACGAAGCCAAGCAGAGCGCACTCCGTCTTGTTGCCCACTTGGCGTGGGAGGGCGCCTTCCTTCTCTGGAGGCTGTGAGGTGAGGAGAACCAATGTAGCTCTGGGAGCCCCAAGTCCACCCACCTTACTGTCCTTGGACCCCAGGCCAGCCTTGGCCTCCAGCGTGGACTAGATGGGCAGCTTTCCCACCATTCTTTGGGCTGTGAACGGCTTCCAGAACCTGTAGGCCCTGCCCAGGTTCCAAAGATGAGGAGGGAGCCCAGCACCCCAGAAATGATTGTGGCCCTGCTCAAAAGAGTCCTTAAGGGAGCCTAGCCAGCCCCTGGCAACAGCCCACCCTGAAGCCACATCTTGCTGCCCCTGCCTGGGCCCACCCACCGCTGGCTCCCAGCTCACTAGTATTTTGGTGGTGTAGGCACTGTTGATGGAGATGGCGTGGACCAGGAGGTCGAGGATCTTGGGGGTCAGGGCACTGGGGGCTGGAACCTCTTTGTAGTGGGTGTCCCCGAGGTAGGACTGCACCACAGTCATGCGGTTGGTGGTGAGCGTGCCCGTCTTGTCGGAGCAGATGGCCGTGGCATTGCCCATGGTCTCGCAGGCATCCAGGTGGCGGACCAGGTTGTTGTCCCTCATCATTTTCTGTAGAGGGCACAGATGGAGGCTTGGGTAGCCAGCTGTTCTGGGGGAGGGGGCTGGCCCAGGGCATGGGGGAGCAAGAAGCACAGCTCAGATGGGCCAGGATGATGCCCCTCCCCTGCCCGGTGCCCCCTCTCAGGCAGGCCCTGTGGGTTCTCCACCCACCACAATCTCTGCCTTCCTCCCCTGTGTCCCAAGGGTCATCCTTCCTCTTCTCTCCCATCTCAACTCCCTGCACCCCTGGGACCCTGCCCTCATCTGGCAGATGCTGGATCATCATGCCCCCATACTCAGGAGGCTGGGTTGGGCAAGGATGTCCAAACCCAGCTCTGTATCCCTGCTCACCACCCACCCCATTCTGCCGCTGAGCAATCCCAAACTTTATCCGGTCCTCGCTTGTTCAAGTTGCTTAAGGGCTTTGTGCCTGGAGTCCTGGTTCTGTATCCTGGTACCATGGGACTTGTATCCATGGTGTGTTGATTTTATTACCTTGACGGAGTAAGCTAAGGAGATGGTGACAGCAAGAGGCAGGCCCTCAGGGACAGCCACAACCAGCACGGTGACACCGATGATGAAGAACTTGACGAAGTACTGCACATAGACAGGTGTGCACTCTGCCAGCCATGCCCGGCCATCTATGACGAAGGTCTCGATCACGAAGTAGAGGACCAGGATGATAACAGTGATGGCGGACATCACCAGCCCTGCCATAGGCAGTGGAGGCAGGAAGGGAGAGCAAGATGGAAAAGATAAGGGATGCTGCAGCCTGTCCCTGGATTCTTGGAGGGTCACAGTCCATCCTCACCAGAAGGGGCGGAAGCGGGCCCTGAAGGCCATCACATGTCCCTGGCCGGTCCCCTGGCTGATTGGCCCATGGTCCCCATCACTTTTCCCTTGCCCACTTGTTCTCCTTGGCCCAGCCTCAAGCCCAGGAGCCCAGCGTCCTCCCTGCCCACCAGGTGGCCCCCTGGGCCACCCCATCGACGGCCCCCACCTGCTTTCCCAATCTGCACGGCCAGTTTGGTGAGCTTTCCCTGTAGGACCGACTTCTCCTTCTTGGGCACGTTGGCTTTCTTCTTTTCCCGCTCCTCCATCTCTCCACCCTCTGCACTCTTCAGGGGCTGCATTTCCATGGCAACAGCCCCATCCTGCTTCTTTGCTGTGCAAAAGAGAAGCCCGAAGCCAAGGTTAGGACCTGCCTGCTGGGCTGACGGCTGCAAGGGGGGCTTTCACAGGGCAAGCAATGGCATGCCAGTCCTCCTCTCTCATCAGCCCAGGCCCTCCTGAAGTGGGTGCTGTCCAGGGCAGGACGGAGACGCTCCTCTCGGGACCTCGCAGGGGAAGAGAAGATAGACAGGAGCACTGCTAACTGGGGCGTGCACACAGCGTGGCCAGTCCTGTGATGCCCCAAATCTCAATACCCGAGAGCAGAGACCTGGGGTCCATGGAATATTCCAGAACCCAGAGCTGACTCTGGCACACTGGCGTCTAAGCCATGTCCCCACTCCCCTCAGGGAGGCCCAAGAATCCCTGTACTGTCCTCCCCTGCTCTTGGCTCAGGCCTTTGCTCCTCTCCACTAGCTGTCTGTCCACCTCCTCTCTGGAACTAGCAGTTCTTTCACAGCGCCCCTGGTGCAACCTAACTTAGTGGTGCTGTTTCTCACCACCCTTTATGGTCCCTCCACCACCCGGAGTGGGCACCCAACACTGACACTCATCCTCGTCTCCACTCAATGGGCTCTCAGTGACTCTGCATGCCTCCTGCCACCTTGTGGGGTCAGCCAATCCCTGTGGCCTCATCTCCTAGCCCTTTGGCTGCAGCCTCAGGGACACTCAACATCGCACCTAGCTGGACCACTCTAGCCTCTGCCTCCAATGCAGTCTGCCACTCCCTGTCCCAGCCTGGGGCTCTGGCCATCGGACTATCCTCCAGTCCCAAGTGCCCTCCCAACCGCCAGCAGCCTCTGAACTCTTTGTCTGCCTCATCTGAGAGGGCAGCAGGCCTCAAAGCCTCAGCAGAAAGGCCACTGAAGTGGGAACCCACTGGCCCCACGAGGTCTTGAGTGAGTCCCCCTTCCAGAGCGTCAGATCCCTCACCAGGATGCAGGCTCACGGGCCATCTTTGTGCACTCCTGGTGGGGTCTGCTGACCGGCTGCTCACCCCACTCACCTGGCCTCCAGGTCCTGCCCCTGCAGTCGAGGCAGGCGGCCCCCCCACCCCGTCTGGCACCCTCTGCCACCCATCCTGAGTGCAGAGAGCCCATTACCTTTGGTCTGGCTACTCTCCATCGCCCCATCCTGCTGCTTGCCTACAACGGAGAGGAACGACAGACACGGAGACTTGAGAACACCACATGGCCCTGGTAACACACATGCACACGGGACAGCGGGGCACAAGACACTGCAGCCAATGTGTGTGGGAGGAGGGGCGGGCGGTGAACCCGCGGGCCAGAACCAGCACAAGGGGCTTGCCTAGATCGGCGGTCCCCAACCTTCCTAGCCCTGGGGACTGCTTTCATGGAAGACAACGGCTCACGTCCTGCTGTGCAGCCCAGGTCCTACACGGAGCAGTATCCATCTGGGGCTTGGAGGGTTGCGGTTCCCTGGCCTAGATGGTTCCTAAGCCCAGTGGCCTAGAGATCAGCTTTCTACTCAGCACAGCCATGGAGAGAGAGGAGTTGGCCAGGGTCAGGACACCCACAGCACTGGAGGGAGCATCAGGGCTGGACCCCAGGTGTATCTGTGCAGGGGTCTTTCGCTGATGTGCTTTGCCACCATAAAGCCTGCAGCTGGCTGCTAGGAATGGTGGCAGCGACTGGCTTCCCTGTGCCAATGTAAACGGTGCCGGCCATGCCTCTGGTTTGCAAGGTTGGCAAGGACTGTCCCGCTGGGAGGGCTCAGGAGAGCCAGCAGGTGAGGGGATTTGGGCTTGGGAGTTCGGGTTCTGCACCCCAGCTTCTCTTGCTTCACCTGCACCCAGGAGAGCTCTCCAGAAGACACACATGGACAGCCCCATATCCAAAGACCACTGACCCCAGGCAGGAAGGGCTCATGTGGGCTGGCTCATCAGCCCCTATGGAATAGCTCATGGTCATTGGAGATCCTGGGATGCAGACTGGAGGAAACGTAGCTCCCAGGTGGTGGGGTGTGGTATGGGGGGTTTTAGGCAAGCAGGAGAGGCCCCCTCCCCACCCTCATGGGGGGTTGGTTGGGCCCCGTGGGGGTGTTCAGAAGCGAAGGGGTGGGTGACAATCCGGCATGAGGAAGGGGTGTTGCCCTGTGATTGGGGGAGCCTTCTGGGGGAGGGAGGGAGGGAGGTTTGAGAGGAGCACAGCCAGAAGACGAGGGCTAGACCTGGCCTGCAGAGGGGGCAGGAGCCAAGGGAGGGGAGGAGGAGGAAAGACAAGTCAGCCCAAAGAGGACCACGAGGAGTCAAGCCAGAAGGCACGAAACAGCCTTTAGTGGTCAGGGAGCGCTGAGCCCTGCAGGCAGGATGGATCTCAGCAGAGGTGGGGAGAGAGTGAGACCCCACCTTACAGTCTCCAGTGTGCAGTAGTGGGTGCAACGCCCCCTCCCAGAGCCTGGCCAGGTTGGCCTCCCCTCGGGGCTCCCTTCCTCTAGAAAGCCAGGTGTTGGGGATACCTCCTACCTGACATAGCAAGCAGGGGACAGGAGCTGGGGCTGCGGGGACCCAGGGGACTGGAGGTCAAAGGTAAGGGGCCTAGGACTAAGGCCTTCAGGCCTGATATTGAAGGGACCTAGCAGGAGGGGAGGAGCCTGGGGGCGACCTGCCAAGTAGTCATCAGGATGTCACTGGAGGGTCACCGGGGACTCCAGTCCAGCCTAGGGGAGGCCTGGGGCCTGCCTACCCACCCACTGGTCCTCCTGGGGTCCCCAGGGTGCTGACTGTGCAGAGACACTGGGCTGAGCCCTGCAGGGAGGAGAGCCCACAAAGGGAACCCAGGCCCAGGCTGCCAGAACCTGGGGCCCTGGGAAGCCTCTAGGCAACAGCAGCTCACCTATCTCCTCCAAGGAACACAGTGGCCCAGGGAGAGGGACATGAGGAGGTCTTTCCTTACATTGACTCATCCCCGTGTTCCTGGGTTGGCAGACTGATCCCACCTGCACTCAAAGCCCAGTGGCTTTGATTGACTGGGGTGGAGCTGGTGACTGGTGACCTGCTGCCCCTGTCCACAGGATCCTGGCTGCAGGTGTCCGGCACATAGTCCCCCCATACCAGTGTGTGTCTTTGTACTTCTAGTGGGCCCAGGGGGCTTCACAGAGAGGTGGGGTGCAGATGGAGCAAACACCATTCCTCACCTGCTTTCTCACAGGAGTGGCCTGAGGGGAGACCCAGGTCAGTGCAAGGTGAATTGTGAGCAGATGTTGTGAGGACTGCAGGGGGCACCTGCCATGTCTGGGGCTCAGGATGGTGGCAAGGGGAGGCAACTGGGTAGCCATGTGCCAGGGTGGATACAGAGCTTGGATCTCTGAAGACATCTGTCCCTTGACAGTGCTTTCCCTTGGGGTGAAGGCCCTGGCCCCGTCTCAGCTTCCCCTGCCATGATGGCCTTTAGAGAGGCCTTCCTACTTGGGAGCCCTCCACCTCGGCTGTGTTTCCCTAGCTGTCATCGTGGCCTGGACCCTCAGCACCTCACCATGGGGGCTGAACACCCCCCCCCAGGATGGCCCCGAAGCTCTCTCCCAAGCCAGGGTGGCTGGTCTCTGCCCTCCAACTCCCTTCCTACTCAAGCAGGGCCCTCCCCACACCCTGGCACACCTGCACCCGGGCACACATGCCCCAAAGCCTTCAGGGCACAGCCATCTAAAGGAAACTGCCTTGCACAAGATTGGGAGCCCCAAACTGCTGGATCTGGGGGAAAGACCTCAGAAAAGGGGCCTCCAAAAGGAATTCCAGGAGAGAGGGTATGGGTTCCCACCTGCAGAGGGCTGGTTCTCATCAGTGCCAGAGCAGGGACGGGTTGAGCGAGGGACCACCAGCAGGCAGGCTCAGAAGAGAGAGCAGGCTTCATACAATGGTTAGTGCTACATTACCTTTCTTATCCTTCTTCTCTTCCTCCTCTCCACCAGCTCCAAGCAAGGTAAAGATGATGCCCGTCTGGGAGTTCACACCCACAGCCGTCACCACCATTCTTCCAGAACCTTCCATGACATGAGTGCCTGGCACAACAACACAGAGAGGCTGAGACAGACATCTGTACCACGGGGCTGGGAGGCACACTTAGCACCTCCAGGTCGTGTCCCAGGACCAAGAGCCCTGCTTCCCCAGGGGCTCACCTGACAGCAGCATGGGGTCCTTGTCTGTTGACTTGCGCACATGGTCCGACTCGCCCGTCAGGGAGCTCTCATCGATCTTGAGGTCGTTGCCCTGGATGAGCACGCCGTCGGCAGGCAGCAGGTCTCCTAAGGCCGGCCAGGCAGCCAGAACCACAGACCGTCCATGCGTCTGGGCAGCCTTCCTCCACACTGCCTCCCACCACTCCCAGAGGATGTCCCTTTGGGCCTGGGTAGCCACCCATCCCCAGTCCTGTCGTCCAGCTGCCAGGGAACCGGGCCCACAGAAGCACCCAGCCGGGTGTGCTGGAGGGGCTGCCCTGGGCGCACTCACCATACTTGACCTGGGCGATGTCCCCCACCACAAGCGCGGCCACGGGCACCTGGAGGAGCTGCCCGTTCCGGATGACGGTGAACTTCTGCTCCTGCTCTATGCGACTCTGCAGGCCTCGGAACTGCTTCTCTTTGCTCCAGTCGTTGAAGGCCGTGACCAGAACCACGCAGATGACAGACAGCAGGATGGCGGCCCCCTCGATCCAGCCCGCCTCGGCTTCCCCTTCGTCTTCCGCCCCAGCCGACACGTTCCCACAGGCTGCGCACACCCGAGGACAGAAGGGAAGGACGGAGGCGGCAGATGAATTCCTTCACTGACCCCTTCCTGCTGCCGGTACCTCCTGGGACCCCCTCCTGGCAGCCCCTCGGTGGTGCAGCCCTCGGCCCGCAGTGCACCTCCACGCCCCGTCCCTCCGCGTCCGCCCCGCCCCAACACCCCGCCCCCTGCGCCCCTCCCCTCCATGCCCCTTCACGCCCCGCCCCGCCCCTCACCTTCGCTCTCCTCCCCCGGAGGTGCATAGAATGAGAGGCCCAGGGATACGATGGCGGCCACCTCCAGGATGATGAGGGTCACATCCTGCAGGGCCTCCCACACCAGCTGTAGGAAGGTCTTGGGCTGCTTTGGGGGGATGAAGTTCTGCCCGTAGATCTGCCTGCGCTTCTCCAGGTCATTGGCGTTGTCAGCCAGGCCTGTGCAATGCGGGGACACAGAGCAGAGGCACAGAAGGAGACGATGGCAAAGGCCACCCCCGACCCCCGCTCCCTTCTCCGCTTCCGCCCGCCTCCCCCTCTAGACTGAAAGCTCCCAGGAAGCGGAACCACACTGGCCGAGAGCCTGGAGCCCTTCTGCAAAGCCTGGGGGGGCGCATAGGGGGCGCAGGCAGCATCTCCAGCTGCCTGGATGGCACAGGTGTACCAGCACGCAATAGCGAGGAGTCCCCAGCACGAGGAAGGGCTGGACCACCCTCCCATACGCCTGGGTGGGGCCAGGAGCTAACACCTCCCTCTGCATCCTCACAAGCTAATGTGTGGGGTGGCAGGGAGGGAACGCAGAATACAAAATCCACACCCACAAAGGGGCTGGTCCCAGGCACTCATTTCAGAATCTGTGGCCTGACTTCTCATTCTGGGGACAACCCACTTCCTACCCAGGTCAGCACCAAGGCCTCTGGGTCTCTGCTTTCACAGGGTGAGTCTCCTCAAGCCCATACCTGAAGGCAGCGAAAGCTTCCACATGGGACTGGCATTCAGGTCGCTGCCTCTCAAGGCCAGACATCCGCTTAGCCATCTTCCCCAGGGGCAGACACAGTGCCCTGGTCCCACCCTCGGCCTTTGGGCTTCAGCTTCCTTCCGGGCCCTTCCACAGGACCCCTCCACCCCAAAGCTTTCTGGCTTTTCAGCGCCCCCAAGTGTCTGGCCCCACACTGACACTTCATGGACTCTGTGGCTTGCAGTTGCCACCCCTAAGGAGCTACAACTCCCAAGGCCTCCAGTGTGGAGGGGAGGCGGTCAGGGTGCAGCAACTGGAAGGGCTGGGGTCCCAGCCCGTGGGGTGCTCCTTGTCGGCTTGGAAAGCCACACAAGATGTGGTCCCAGATGACTTAAGAACATGAAGGTGCTGAGGGTGGCATAGAGGAGTCCAAAAGAAGGAGGGTGGGTGTGTGCTGGGTAGGGAAAGGTAGTTTCTGGGGAGGGGATGATGGAGCCCCTAAAGGTGGAAGGACCGACAAGAAAACACTCTCTGAGCTAGGCTGTGACCACACACTGTCTCCCCCACCCAGCAGCAGTCACAGCTGTCTCTGCCCTTCTCCTCTGGCCTCACTGTGCCTGGGCCCAGCCACGGGTCAAGTTTTTGGAGGCTGTAGTCTCCCACTGGGAGAAACTGAGAACCTCAGCTCCTAAGGGGCTGGGGACCCAGCTGAGGGCTTGTGTCCCACTCCTCTGACCTACAGAAGATATGAAAAGTGGGCTTACTACTCAGAAGGTTCTTGAACCCTGAATCTCCCAGACACCCAGAGTCTCCACTACCCCCACTCTGGGAAAGGGCTCTGACTTGGAGCCACCAAGAATCACAGAGGCCCAACCCACCTTCTAGAGAGCCCCTGGGCCCCCGTCACGCCTCAAGAATCTGCACGCTGCCTGCCCAGCCCCATCTGCCCAGCCAGGCCCTCAGGGCCCCTTTCCCAGGAGTTTCCTCTCTCCCTCCCTTGGCCTGTCCGTTGGCCTTGGTTTGCCCTTGATGCTGCCGCAATGCTTCTTTCTCCCTTGCCCGACAGCAGCCGGAGGGCCTTGGCCTTCCTGTTGGCGCTGGGGTCTGGAGAAGTGCTCGTGGGGGTGACCCAAGACAGCCAGCAGCCCCTCCAGTTCCGAGCACACACTGGTCCGGCCCAGGTCCAGGCTGCAGGGGCAGCGGCCGGCAGTTGGCATGGACACAGATGGGCACCCTGCCTGGACCAGAGGCCAGATGCCATCAGAATTGGATTAGGACCACATCGTGCGGCTCTCCGCTCATCTGCCCCTCCTTTCCATGAGTGTCAGCGGAGGCCAGCCAGGAGAAGGCCCACTCACCCTAGCCTGGCCTAGGCTCCCAGCTTCTGGAATTCTCTTGGATGCACTTACTGCCGGGAGGAAACCCAAAGTCCCCTCCTCCAATATAGCATGCACCTGCCTGGCCTGCTGCCCACCCCCCACCTTGCCAGGGGGTGTGCGGGGGCCCTGGAGCTCAGCTAAGCTGTACCCCGCCACCCCCCATCCTGGAGCTCAGGTCACTGTGTCTGAACGGCAGTAGGAGTATCTAGGTGGGCCAGGACCTGCGCCTTCTTCCGGATGCAGAGTGGGCTGGCTGGCTCCCTCTGCCATGGCCGAGCCACCCACCTGGGCACCTGCTCTTCTCTAGGCCTGCCCCTCCACCGGGTGAGCGCCAGAGCCGCTGTGGCAGAATCGGGCATGTTCCCAGGGGCCTTGACATTTTAAATATTTAACAAGGCCTGACAGGCAGAGGAAGGAGCTGCCAGCTGAAGCCCATCTGCTTCCTTTCATCTGGGAGAGGCCAGAGCCCTGGTGGCTAAATGGCCCTCTACCCCAGGCCTTCCCCCAGCCCCAAGTTGGGGGTGGGGGGACGGGCCAGGAGGAGGGGAGGATAGAGATCCTCTGGCTCCGAGCCAAGCCATCTGCCCCTGATCGATCACACACCCGCACCAGGCTGGGGCCCTTGAGAGCACAAAGCAGGAGGGACCCAGGCGGGCCCTTGGTGTTCCTGACCTGGCCAGGTGGGTGTGCTCTCACCTGGCCTCAGGCCCACCTCCTCTGCGGGGAGCAGGGGCACATCTCTACCCCCTGTTGCAGCCCTGGTGTCACCTGCAGACAGATGGAGCCAGGGAGCAGGAGACAAGGGCAGCAGCCAGGGCACTGGTGTGCCAGCTGAGACAGGGCTGACGGGATCCATCTGCACTGGCTGGGGACTGTCCTGGCACTGGCCTGGGGTAGCCCCAGTAGCCCTGCCAGGGAGGTGGCAGCTAGGCCAGAAATGCTCCAGCTGGTGGAATCTGGGGCCAAGCCTGGCTCCCCCAAGGGGGTCCTGGCCTCCCAGCAGACCCATAAGGCCTCCACGCCCAGAACCTTCTGGAGGACACAGAAGGGGGACAGCGTGTGGGGAACACTTGGTCAAGGGCCACCCTGCTCATTTCTTGCTGAGGTTTCAGTTTATGGCCCATCCTGCCAGCATGAGCCATTTGGTGCCAGCTTCCTCCCTTACTCAGCTTGGGTACTCCATTGCTATTTCATCCAGAGAAGAGATGCGAGTGGGAACCGCTGGTGATGGAGGCAGGGGGGCAGGGGGGAAGGTTGCCCCATGCAGAGCATCTCCTGCTCTAGGGGAAAATGGTTGCCCAGGGAGGGCACAAGGGCACAATCGTGGTCATGGTTTAGTGAAGAGTGTCTCTGGGAAGCGGCTGCAAGCCCAGTCTGCTCTGGGGCTACGGAGCCTCTTCAGAGAGGAGCGTGGGGAGGTAATGGCCCTGCACCACTGGCATACCCGCCCTGCTGGCAGACTTACCCTCGGTGGGTGAGGTCTTCAGCCTCCTGCAGAGCCCGCCCACGTCCCCATAGGCCTCCTGGACTTTCTGCAGTGCCTCAGCCCCCCGGAGCTCCATGAGGGAGCGCAGCTCGGCCAGCGTGCACCCGAAGCCGCCTGCATGTGGGGCCTCCCGCTGCTGCTGGGGTTTGGGGTGGAACTCGATGGAACTGTTGGCCACGTCGCCCATCCTGCCTGTGGCACGGGAGGGGGTGGTGTTCTCGCAGGTGCAGCCTCCGTCGGGGGCAGGCGGACCCCCGAGGTCCCAGCACCGGGGTGAGGTGTAGCCGGGGCGGCCAAGTGCAGACACCTGGGGAGAAGGAGGTGAGAAGCGCAGTTGAGACGAAACCAAGGTCCCCTCTCTGGAACGTTCTTTGCAAATGTGCACTCAGGTCGAGCCACAACTCACTGGGTGCAAAATTCCCCCCCCGTCCCCCCCACCCCCAGGCCACGCAAGGGCCCCTCATGCCCACCAGGCCTGCCTGCCAGGTCACCTCTCAGTCCTGCCCACCACAAGCACACAAGCTGGCAGGGCTTGCCACTGGGGGCAGGAGGCAGTGTGAGAGCCTCCCGGTGGGGACCTGCTGCCAGCAGCAATAGGCAACCTGGGACATGGGGGCTCTCGCTGCCCCCCAAGTCCATCTGGGCCCCCATACTGGAGCAGGTGTGACATGTTGGGATGGAACGAACAGTGGGTGGTTCTGCCCCGGCATAGATGCTCCATCACATTCCCTCGCTTGCCTGATTTAAGACTCGCCCTGCGTGGCAGGCATGCCATAAGTCTCTGGCGGCAGTGGTCTTTGGAGGTGGGGGGGCCCTGCGGTTCAAGGTTTCAGGCCCGTGGGGGTCCAGGGAACAGGGCAAACCATGGACAGAGCCAGCTGGGCTCTAGGTCAGGGCTTAGTGCACAGGTGTTTCTGCTGCCCTGGGGGCACCTGGGGCCCAGGGCTAGGAAGGGAGAGGGTGGGGTGAACAGGGGAAAAGGAGGGGAGAGGGCCAGAGGGAAGGGGAAGGAGGCAGGGAGGGAGGGAGTGGAAGGGGAGGGTGGAGGAGAAAGCGGAAAGCAGCCACAGGTCACGGGTGACTTCTCTGTCACCCTGCCCCATAACACAGCGCCACCCCATCCCCCACACCCTCCAGCCCTCCAAATGGCAAAGTGAGGAGCTGGAATCTCCCCCAAATTAACAGCAGCTGGCTAAGTCCCAGGCCACTGACCTTCCTCCTCCATGGAGCATCCTGAAACTTGCCCGAGAAACTCTGGTACCCCTGGCTGCCCTGTCCGCATCCCTCACTGGGTCTGGTGGCACAGACCACGGGGGCCGCTGGGCTGCCGGGTCCTGGGTCCCGAGCTTCTCCAGCTAGTCTCTCCCCTCCTCTCATCCCGGCTGGCAGCCTGCATGGAGTGGCAGCATCACCAAGGCCACGCATTAAGCTCCTGGAACTGAACAAGTCTCAGTGCATGTGGCCTTGGCCTTCACACCAGTGCAGACGCCTCCTGGCAACGTGGCTCAGTTGGGCTGGATCCCTCACCTTTGGGGAAGCTCCCGGCTCACAAGGATCCTCTTGGAAGCAGCTCTTGGCTACCCACCCAGGTTTCTGATCTAGAACTGCCCATGGAAACACAATGGCCCGGAGGCGTGCGGCCTCTGATCTCAGGAGAGCCGTGGCTGCTCTCAGAGGCCGGCCAATGCCAGGAGCAGGGACGTGCCCCAGTCCTCAGGGGCTGAGACCAAGTCTCTGGGAAACAAGGTTCATTTCCTTCATTGCCCACTGGCCCAAGGGGGCTCAGAACACAGAGGGACTCTTGGTTCCTCTGGACACTGAGGCAGTCCCTGCCACAGAGGTGTAGCCCGAGAGGCATCTCAGCCAATGGCCATCTAAAGTGAGCCAGGTTGTCAAAGTTTGGGCACCTAAGTGTTAACTCTCTAGACAGTTTCTGCACGAAGCAGCCTTCCCTGCCGGAAGACGTGGGAACAAGATGGCAGACTCGTGAATGCATGGTCCTCTCTGGCTCCCACGCATCTCCCCACCGCTTGTCCCTCTTGTTCGCCATCTGACCGAGCTTTCCTGAGCACCTACTCTGTGCCCGTGCTGGCCATCCCTGCTGGCTATGGAGGGTTGGGAAGGACTGAACAAGTCCTTGCACTCTCTGGCCAGGAGGTGGGTACCTAGCAGGTCCCTCTGCTGAGACACGTGGCCATAACAGCTTTGGAGTGTTGCGGGGGGGGCACAGTTTCAGCTGGGGGCCGGGATGGAGGAGTGAGCCATTCTTTTTGGAGGGAAGAATGTTCTGAGACCAGGAAGGAGGCAGGTAATGGGACAGGGTCTGGGACAGGAAAGCGGGCTGCTGACCCCATGGGACTGAGAGTGGCAAAGGCCACCACCAAGCAGAGTGCTGCTGGCCGATGACAGATGATAGGGGAGGGAGGCAGGAGATGAGGGCTGGGGCTGCAGGAGAGGGGGGAGTGGGGACCCCAGGGTGTGCCTGGAGCTCAGGGGACTTGAAGGAAGTGAGACTTCCAGGCATTAGTCTGGGGCCAGGTGGGCTTCTTCTGGGATGCTCTGTGAAGGCACCACCCACCCAGGCAGGCACGGCAGGAATCCCCCTTCCATTTGTCACTTGGGCAGGTGAAGGGGCAGAGACACAGGGATACCTGGGTCTCCTGCTTCTGACTGCAGGCTCTTTCTGGAAGCGCTGAGGCTGAGATGGCAGCTTCTGACTGTCAGTAACACTCCTGAGTCCTCTGCAGATGCCCCGAACTGTCACCCCCCGTCCTCAGCTTCCTTCTCCACCTTCACTTAGGTGCTGCCCATGCTGGGATACCTGTTCGCCCAACTTTCTCTACCTTGAGCTCTGTGTCCCTGCTTTGGCACTCCCAGTAGGGAGCACCCTGGATGAAACTGGCCAAGTTGGGCTCAGCTGCCCCAGCCCCTTGCCTGTTGGTTGCTAGAGGGGAGAGGGGAGTCTCGTCCATCCGCAGAGGCCCCAGCTTCGGCTTTGATCAGCCCTGGGCCCACGGACAGGGCACCAATGCCCCCAGGAGTCCAATCCCGGGGCTCAGACAGGCAACTTGATCTGGGGGTCCTATGAGTTCGGGAGGCTGGGGGGCATCCAGTAAATATGTGAATCACTTGTCCCTGAGCAGAGTCCCCAGCTCTGGCCGGCACTCACCCCAGGCTGTGATGTCCTTGGCAGGCAGGCCACTGGCCTGCATTCCAAGATCTTGTGAGTTCGACCCCAGGGTCCCAAGGACAAGCTAGGTGACTTCGTGGCCCCCCACCGAGCCACCTCCCCAGTGCTTTGTTCTAAAAGGGAAGCTAGGTGAACAATCTGTTCCTTTTATCCTTTTGGCCTCTACACTCACTCAGACAAGACTTACGGCACCCAGGCCCGCCCACATGAGTCAGGTGGGCTCATCCAGGTGAAGGTTGCACCCTTCTAGGGCACAGCACCCTCCCTCCTGGCCCTGACAACCAGGGCTCACCCAAGGGTGCCTTTATCCTCCTCCATTAAGCAACAGCAGTTGCCCAGACCCAGCCACACCGGGGCTCTGAGCTGCTCCTTGCTGTCATTGCTGTGGCCTTACTGGCTCCAAAGTGACTCCTGGTAAGGGGACCAGGCAGAGATTTGAGGCCTGGCCTTCTTCAAGGGCACAGAGCTCTCCTAGCCCCTCGCCATGGTCCCTTGGCTGGATTTGCCATTGCTCCATGCTGCAGCTTGGCCTCCTGCCTGCAGCTGTGGAACGATCCCTGGCCCTCAGTGCTGCCAGGCAGGCCCCAGAGGTCTCCCCATCTACCACCCCACAGGTCTCCCTCCAGCTGGGTGACTGGTCACTACGCGGCCTGGTTCAGGAGTTGTCAGTCTATGCCTCCAAGCTGCACTGCCCAGAAAGCATGCCCCAGCATCAGTCCTCCTAGCCCTCCCTTTTGCACATTTCTTCAAAGGCCCCCTCAGCTCCTGTCCTGTGCTGGTTGGTTAGCTCCATCCCATAGCCCGGTCAGCACACCGTCCTGTCCCCCACTCCCCTGAAGGCCTCTGATGAACCCAAGTGGCAATGCACATGGAGGTTGCCCACACAGTTCTGCCCAAACCGACTGCCGCTGAGTCTAGAATCCCACGGCCAAATCCTTATTTCACTGTTTGCCAGGGTGCCAACCCAAGAGTGGGTCTATCCTGTGCTTGGGTCATCATCTCTTTGAGACACGTGGTTGTTGAGTGGCTGGGAAGCCCACTTTGTGGTGGGCCGTGGCTGCAGACAGGGACCTAGACAAGTGAGTGAGTGGAGGTCTGAGTGGTCTGAGAGAAGCCAGGGGCCCATCCTGGCCCACCATCCCCCAGGAGGTGGGATGCAGGGATGATAAGTTGACCCCCCAAGTTGGAGAGTGTGCTCTTGAGAACGTTCCTCTTCATCAACTCCACAGGCTACCAGGTACAGGAGTCATCAGTAAGATCAAGACCAAACAGCATATCCTTTGGTTTCCCTGTAAGCCTTGGGGATGGCCTCCCTCTGCCTGAAAGAAAGGACAGCAGTCATCCTGAAATGGCCAAGAGCAGAAGTGATCAGGCCTATCAGGGCTGCAGGCCTGACAGAGACTTCCTGGTCTGGGCTGGCTGCCTAGAACGGTTTGTAGGCACCAAAAGGGCAGGGAACATACCATTTCTGTACACTTCCATCTCTCAAACCTTAATTGGCTTAATTGAATTGTAAACCTCCATGGAGGGGGAACTCAGACTTTCTGGCCCTTGCTCCATCCTGGCCCAAACTGGCCAGCACTGGTGGGGTGGCAGGAGCCGACCTGCTGGGGGCTTCCTGACCTACCTCCCCCAGTTGTGTGACTTTCAACAGGCTGCTACCCGGGGGGTGGGGGGAGGTTGCGTGGGGCATGGCCGGAGATTGCTCAAGTTCATGCTTGGATTTTCCGATGCCTCTTGCCCCTGGGCCCTGTGACTCAGGCCCACCCAACCAGAAACCCAGGAGTCTTCTCCACCTTGCACCGGCCCTCCTTGGCCACCACTCACCGGCTTTGGGAGCTGTCCCAGCACCTCTGACTTAATCTGCCTGGGTCCCCCACTTCGGCTCCTGTGAACCCTCTCCCCCCAGGGCCCTGGGCAGCTAGGAGCTTTCTGAATGAGATGGTGCTTCTTTTCCCAAGCCCTGGCTCCAGAGGCTTCCCTCACTGCCTCTTCAC